CCAATACTTGGAGCACACAACCAAAAGTGACCTTTGTGTGAATGCACAAAAAGAGATGCTTTGACAGTTCTGGCAATAAATTGGTTTGGATTCTTCCTCAAATATTGGCTCAGTATCCTGAAAAGAAAAAGATTTGTAAAACTTCAGGAATAGCTTGATTATCCATTAACATCATCACAGAATGATATACCAATATGAAATAAAACCATCATTTTAATATTTTCATTTCCACTACTCAGGTAAAAGCCAAAGTAGTAAAAAGCAGTAAAACCATACTCTAAAAACTGCAGGGTATGCAAGGTCTTTGCTTCAAAGACACCCAGATTTTAAATCCCGATGAGAATCAGTGTTGTCACTCTGACAACAACAGTCGATAAAATTTTGCATTAATACTAATTTCTGTAGCTATATGCACTTAGTTTAAAAAACAGACAAAAAGCATCTAACCCAGGCTTGGTAGTGCAACCTGCTAACCCAGCATACAAGAGGCCGAGTCAGGGAGATCACTGTGAGTTCAAAGCTAGCCTGTGCTATATACAGACTAAGTTCAAGGCCAGCTTTAACTGCACAGGGAGTCCTTGCTTCAAAACCCATTACGAAAGAAATAATTTTTTAAAACCCCATTAACTCTTCTAGTTTCCTTTAAATTCAATCCCTAAAATTTCCCTACATGAGCAGTAGCATCAATATTGTCCAAAAATTGATTTGTGCCAGGGAGGTAGCTCAGTGACATAAGCACCTGCCTGGCAAGTGCAAGGTCCTGGGTTCAATCCCCAGGAGAAAGAAAACAGAAAGAAAGAAAGACTGACAGAAAGAAAATTGATTTGTGTCTTACTGATTTAAAAAAAAAAAAAAAAAAAGAGCTCAGGTTCACAGAACTGAGATAGGAGGACTAAAACTGGTTTTACAGACTTTTTCTTTTGCAGTGCTTTTTTCCTTCAGCAAACTACCTTTGAATTTTTTAATTAAAAGCAGCTGAAGAAAACTCCACCTCCTTTATATTTCTCTGCCCCACAGTCTGTTTAACATGTTTTTCTATTCCATAACCCAGATGACACAATCTCTGTCAAAAGTGAAAAACTAAGTCCACTCACACAACATAATAAGGGATTCACATAGCGTATCCATGAGACTAATTTTAAAAGGAAGCCCTTTCCTTTCCTTTTAAGAAAAGAAAGGGAAGGAGCATATCATTACTGAAACTCCAGACTACCGAAGCATAAAATAAGAGCAGTCACTCGCAGCCTTATTTGTCTCACCTGCATGCCACTTATTTCCGAGGTAACAATCCACACCTTCAAGATGCCTGTGGCTGAAAGTGCTACCACCGTATCCTCTAAACCAAGAAGGGAAAAAGCCCAGTCACAAACACAGCATGCATTCTTTCTCAATTTTAAGGTGATCTGCTTTAACAAAACTAAACCAGCATATTTTGTAATTAGAAGAAAAACGTAATTTCTCATTTAATGAAATAAAGATTTTGAAATATATGTTATTAAAGATCATCAATAATTTGGAATTCAAGGACAGTTATTTCAAGTAACTTGATTTTTAATATTTTCAACCAACAAGCTTTTTGAGAATTTCAAATGCTCTTTATTCCTCTGGTTACAAAGAATATTTATTCTGCAAAATTCACAACTTTTCATCATTTATCAATTATTTTCATTGCTTATCATGGATAAGCAGGTTTCCTTTATTTCTCCACAGCACTCATTCCCTCTTTCCCCACCTACCATGTCTGCCTTCCAAATATTTTATTGAACACTGCACCTTCCATAGACTGCTATGGATCAAGAGACAGTCATATATGATTTAAGGGTACATAAATTTGTTGGTTTTCATCCACAGTTCCTGGCTCACAACTTCCTTTCACAGATAGGCTACAAAAACTAGGATTTCTCTTCCTCAAGACAGGCAACAGTCATAACGAAATTCTCTTACCTACCTTGCCTGATAACAGATCACAAGGCCACTAACTCATAAGAGAGTCTGCCCCCCTAATAACCTAAACGTTCGGGGTTCAGAGAGCTTCTAGCTAGTTGAATATACAGAGGAAACTGGCACACCTAGTAGGGGCTGGATGCTTGCCTTATGTATGCCCCACCCCAGGCCACTTTGCCCTACATATCGCTTCACGGGAACAGACGAACTGTGAGTTCAAAACCTGTCTGGGCTAACTAAATTTAATAACAGCCTGAACTATATAGAGAAATGCTGTCTCATAACAACAACAACAAAAATAAACCTGAGGTTCAATGGAATAGATTAGAAGATACAGGCACAACTACACACTCAACCAACTTATCTTTGACAAACAGGCCAAATATGCTCACTGGAAGAAAGATAGCCTCTTTAATAAATAATGCTGAAAAAACTGGCTTTCCACAAGCTGAAGGCTAAAATTAGACCATGTCTATCACCATGCACTAAGCTACAGTCAAAATAGATCAAAGATTTAAATGTTAAAATACAAACACTAAATCTACTGGAGAAGAAAGTAGGTAGAAATCCTGAAGACATAGGGCTAGGTAGAGTTCATGAACAAAAATCAAACTGCACAGGACATACTTCAAAGAATCAACAACTGGGATCTCATCTTTTTTAAAAGTTTCTACATGCAAAAAGAAATCACCAACAAAGCAAAAAGAAAACCTACAAATTTGGAAAAAATTATAACAGCCTGTCCTTCAGACCAAGTACTCCTACCTAGAACTTATAAAGAATTAAAAAAAATCAGGCCCCCAAAATTCAAAGACCCAATCAAAAAATCAGCATCTGAGATGAATACACACTTCTCAGAAGAAATGCAAATGGCAAATAAATGTATGGAAAAATGTTCAACATCATTGGTCATTCAAGAAATGAAAATTAAAACAACACTGAGAATGCAGCTCACCCCAGAAATGGCTATCATCAAGAAGTCAACCAATAACAAATGCTCGCAAGGCTGTGGGGAACAAAGGAGCCCTTTGCCACTACTGGGTACGAGTTTAGACTAGCATATCCACTATGGAAATCAATATGGAGATTCCTCAAAAAACTAGGATTTGAGATCCAATCCAAACCAACTATTTTCCTCCTAGGTATTTTTCCAAAAGAACTGAAAACATCACACCACAGTGATAGATGTGCACCCATGTGAATAGCAGCATAATTTGTCATAGCTAAATTTCTGAAACAACCCAAATGCCCATCACCTGAGGAATGGATAAAAAGATGTGGTATTTTTACACAGTGGAGTATTACTCAGCTACAAAAAAAAGATAAATTTGAGGTTTTTATAAGTAAACAGATGCAAATAGAGACCATACTCATAAGTGAAATAACTCAGATCCATGTATGTATACATCATATTCTCTCCCTAGTATAAGAACCTGAAAGAATAAATAAAATCTGAAAGGTACAATAGATACTGTGAAAAGGAAAGAATCTGTTCAAAGGAAAGGAAGAACTGGGAAAAAGAAAATGACAAAAGAAACGAAGGAAAGAAAAAAGATTTATATACATACATATATACATACATACAGGATAGCTTGGATAATTGTACTGCTGATATCTATTGATCTACTGAAACAAGAAGTTAATGCTTAATTTTTTTTCTTCTCCTTTTTAATTTCTTATAACCTTTTTATTTTTTACCAATTTGGATGCTGATATCTCGTAACCTAAACAACTAATATGAAGACAACATTATGCAATATAACAACCACTGTCAAATTCCTATTATTTTGTTTAGTAAAATTCTGTATCATTTTTAATGTTTTTTTCTTTTTTTTCTTTTTTACCATTTTGTATTTTCTTTAAAATAAATAAACAAAAAATTTTAAATCAACTGAATCAAAGAGACCTTTCTGAGGAAGAGATAGATCATAAATTTTTGGAACCACTATATTTTAAACGCATAAATGTAGTAAAAATTATTCATTTTGATAAATTACAAAGCTTCAAAGTCAATTAAACAATAAGTTATGGTGCTGAATTTCCTAAAGGTATACTATACTGACCTTGTGTCAGCTGCGATCGAATAATACTCATGGAGCTGATCCAGTCTGGTGATATCTTTGATACTAAGGAATATAGTACCTCAAGGCTGGTTGCATCTACAACAAGGATTTCAGGGTAATGTCCATGACATAAAAGCCTTCCTTCTCGCTGATTTCCAACAGAGAACTGGTAGAACTAAATTCATGTTAAAATGAAAAAAAAAAAAAAAATGTAAATGTTCTTTACACATTTGATTAACATACCCCCATCAAGATTATTATATTAGTTTCCTAAATGCTAATTCCTCCAGTAATATTCTCAGTTACTATATAGTACATATTTTAGGTTTGTAGTAGACACACACATATAACAAATAACAATGTTTATATATATCTAACAAAAACTATATTCTCCTAATGTATCCTCCCTTTTAAATTGTTTTGTAATAGAATTCTGACAACTCTTCTTAATGCTCACTTCCACAGCACGTATGCATGATAATTCTGTTTATCCCTACTTCTACAATCTAAAATGAAACTTGTAAGGACTAGTGTTGTGGATTAATGTTAGAATGTTCAGCTGTTATACATAAGACCCTGGGTTTAATTCCAGAACTATATGAAAAGACTACATGACTATATGAAAAGACTTGAATTAATTAATAAAATAGCTGAATAAACTTGGCTTCACAAATCAAAGGGAAGCTTAGATGGTTCAAAAACTATGAATTATAAATGAGTAAGATGGGCTGGTGAGATGGCTCAGTGGTCTAGAGCACCTACTTAGAACAAGCTAAGCTAAACAAAAACACAGGGACCGTGGTTCAATCCCCCAGCACCACATGCCAGCTAGCCCCGCCCCCTGGTGGGCTGAGCTGGCCACACACACACACAAAATAAATAAATAAATAAATAAATATTTAAAAAATAAAAAATAAAAATAAATGAGTAAGAATAGGTAAGTGCAGATTTATAATTACTACTTATAGTCAAATAAAATTTAGAAGTAAAAAAATAATTAATGTTCAAGTATATTATAATCTACCAAGTATAAACGACACAAAGAAGATTAGCATGGCCCCTGCACAAGGATGACATGCAAATTGGTGAAGCGCTCCATAAACTACCAAGTATAACAGCACATTCGTAATCCCAGTACTCACAAGGCTGAGGCAGGAGGACAGCTTTGAGTTTGAGGCCAGCCTAGGCTACATAGTGAGTTTAAGGCCAGCCTGCATTGTGTAGCAAGACCCTGTCTCAAAAAAATAGAATTAAAACTAAATTCTGACTAAACTAAGTGTTGTTCTTTCACACAAAAGTATGAAACAACTATGTAAATACAGTACACACTGCACTTTATAGAAGAAAAGAACTCACATGATTCACTAACATCAACAACTACTCAAGTGAATAGCATTACATTAACCAAAGAGCAGAGAAAGAGTAACCATCAAGCAAGACAACTATGGAAAAGATCTGCCTTTCCTCCACCTCACAAAACGGATTCCTGTAGTGGGTTGCTTCTCTGTAAGGATTTTCAGAGGGTGAAGATGTCCTTATATTCAGAAATGAATCACATAAGGGTAAGCTAGGCAAAAGACAGCTGACGAAGCTATAAACACTCCAATTAGGAGAGATAACTAGGAAGTCCTGTGCCTAGGCTGTTTCTACATTCATTAGTCCTACTCTTCTTAATTATGCAGTGCCTGTATAAGGAGTAAAACTTTGTCCACACAGTGTGAACACTGATCATGAAACACATTAACAGGTATAACATAACTTCACTAAAACTCCAGGTATAGGGGTAGGGAGGTACCTAACAAAATAAAGGCTATCACAAGGGGTCACCTATAGATCTCAAAAAAAACACACACACAAAAGGAAGTTCCCAGGACCCCAAGGAGCTCACATATAATAATGTGGATGGAGGCAGACTTGAGGCATGTAAGTGAAGGATATGTCAAAATGGAGAGGAAGGTTGTAGAGAAGCAAACTTTGTCAGTGTTCATCCAACCACAGCCAAGAGGAACCCTGTACTACAAGGATGCAGAATTAGGAGGGCACTAAAGGAGAACTCTCTCCTGTGTGCATACGTGTAATCCCTGCACTCAGGCAGCTGAAGCAGGAAGGCCATCATGAGTTCAAGCCCAGCCTGAACTACATAGGAAGACCCTGTCTCAGCCAAAAAGCAAAAACAAAAATCCTCTATTCAGAGAACATATTGTATTATAATTGTTTGACTAAATTTCCCTCACTTTTCCTGTTAAAGTCATACTCCTAATGACTTTTCTGAGCACTAATTCAGCTTCTAGAACACTTTAGCTTTGCAAAGAAAAAATCCTAAATGGAGAACTAAGTTTTCAAATATAAAAAACAATGCCTCATCCATATGGTAAATTAATAGATTGGCATTCCCTTATGATTTCAGTAGGCACAATAGCAGCAAAATCTATCACCTTGGTGAATATGTACAAAAACTTAATTTTAGTATTTAAAAACCCTTTCTGCACTATGCCTTCTAATTTGTGTTAATGCAAGTTTCCTTTCTTGACAAATTATGTTATTAGTTTGTTTTAAGGGAGGCAGTAGGACGTAAGAGAAAGAACACAGTGCCCAGTCAGATAAACCAAGAATGACACTCTGAGACTTGGGTAACTCATTTAACCTCTCAAGGTCACAGCATCCTTTTATGTAAAATTAATACACTTCTATTGACGCTGCAAAGATGCAGGGAGGGCTGTACTGAAATACAATACAAATACACTCTATATGGTATTTGCTCTATAAACATGACTTTTCTTCCCTTTCTACTGAGTACATAGTTCATCACATATCTCTGTATACTTCAAATTTTTCCCAATACAGTAAATGAGTAAAGTAAGGGAAAAATATATGACAATTATAAAATAAAGTAAGAAAAACTAGCAGGAATATATGTGAGAAACTACAAATTTCAATGAAATATATTTTAAGGCAGATACATGAATAGTCATTTCTTCTAAACAGTTAGAAAGTCTTTAAAAATGAGCACAGCAAAGTGTGGTGGCTCACACCTGTAACACCAGCACTTGGGAGGCTGAGGTAGCAGGATCTACCAGAGTCCAAGGTCAGCCTAGGCAACACAATGGGTTCAAAACCTGAACTGTCTCCAAAAAAGAAAAGCCCAGGAGCTCAATTATGTAAGAATAAAAAAGGTACGATCAAAAAGCAAGTCAGTTTTGTTAATCATGAATGGACTCGTAACAGCCTTGGCAGGAAAGAATTCATTCTTCCAATCTAGTACACTTACCCTAGTAGTAAAAGTGTTCTGCTGATCCTAGTTCGAACCTCAAAGGTCCATGATTTATAGGCTTAGTCTCTTGACTGACTCCAATGGGAGACAGCAGGGCCTTTACGAGTTAGGAGGTCTAATGAAGCCTGTAGGTCATGATGAGCATGACTCTGAAGAGTACAATGGGACCAAATCTCTTCCATTTCCTTTCCTAGCCATGAGGTGAGCAGTTCCAAGGTACCACACATCCCCTGACACTGCTATGTGGCACCTCCGGTAAAGACTCAAAGCCTGGTCTACCTGAGCATGAATTTGAATCTTTAAAGCCACACATCACTGGGTACAGTGGTGCATACCTGTAATCCCAGCACTAAAGAGGCTGAGCCAGGAAGGTCTCTTTGAGTTTGAGCCCAGCCTGAGCTGCACAGAGTTCAAGGTCAGCCTGAACTACAGAATGAGACCCTGTCTCAAAACAAATAAATAAAATAAATAAAGACACGATCTAAAGTAAACCTTTTTCTCTTCAGAAGCTGATTACCTCAGGTACCTGTTATGGCAGTGGATAGCTGATTAACATGAGTTCTTATCCAGGTAACCAGGACAGCCCTACATGGCAAAAATAGACACGGTACGTGGCTCACTCTACACTTTTCTCTACTAGTTTCTACTTTATAACCCTTCTGAACTGTATCATCTTATGAGGAACACTTTTATAACAATTCTAGTCTTCTTGTATATTTACTCCTCCCCAGGATTTTTCACATTAAAAATACAGGCTCAGTGTTATAAAACATTTTTAACTACAAACTCATAATAAAACACACTGACTTAGTCAGAAACAGATACTAACCTGTATGCCAGTATGTGTGCAGGCTAATTTTGTAAATTCAATACATCTGCCATCACTCACATCCCAGAGGCACATCTCTCTGTAAAGCAAAATAATAGCTAATTTTGAACCTGATTTACAAAGCATTGGTCAACTTTGTCACAGTGGTTTAAAATTAATCTTTCATTAAAACTAACACATTACAGTGTGTGGTAGGGCATGCCTGTAATCCTAGCACTTATGAGCCTGAGGCAAAAATGTCACTGAGAATTTGAGGTCAGCTTGGGCTACGTAAACAGTTCAGGCCAGCATGAACTACATAAAAAGACCCTGTCTCAAAAGAACACAAAAAGGGCCAGCCAAATAGCTCAGCAGATTAAAGGCCAGGGGTTTGATCCCCAGGCCTGCCCTGCCAGCCCTGCCTCCAGGGCACACTGAGAAAAAAATTGAGACTGGGTATCTTGGCGCATGCCTGTAATCCAAGCTCTTGGGAGGTTGTAAACAGGCAGATCACTATGAGTCTGATCTAGTAGTGAGACCCTAAACACCCTTCCTTAAAATTAAGAAAAAAAAAAACCAACCTGCGTAAGAAAATGGCTAAAATTTCCTACTTATCACATACTGCTACTAGTTATAATGATATAAAGGTATGAGGAGAAAAGAACACATAAACATCATATGATAAACTATAAAAACATTATATCAATTAAAGATAATTTTTAAAATATAAACATTTTAGGGAAAAAAGAGAAACCTGACCAAACAAAACAATACTTACCCACTTTCAGATGCACTTACAATGTACTGTTTGTCACCAGAAGCACAAGCTTTAGACAAACAAGTTATTGAAGCTGTATGGCCAAATAACAGTGCTCGAGGATTAATCTAGAATGCAAAAACATGCCAGTATAAGTACTAAATAAAATGTAACCCTTCAATTAGCAACCTTGTTAAGTATTCAATATAAATATGCAATATATATTTGAAAAAAATTATTAAAACACCAAAACCTAAGAGCTGCCAAAGAGCGAGCTCCAACCCATGCATTGCTCACCATCACCCTACCATGTAGTCCTGAGGCAGAATGAATCAGGAGGAGTGACATTATTTAAACAATATTACATAGAGAATGACAGACTAGGATTCAAACCAGCTTTATTATACTAAGAAAGCAGCATAAGAATTTGACCTAATGTGTAAAATACCATAATTTGAGCTCATTTATTTTCAAAATAATCACGAAAGCACTTTAAGAGTCTCTGGATTCACAGCCTCAAATACAGCAAACAGAAGACAGATCCCTTTCCAAATGCTGATGTCAATGTCATGTGCCAAGAAGAATGACCTTCACACACCACTGATTTAAAGATATAATGCCCAACAGAAAGGATGGCTTAACACAGCTCTAAAAGAGGCAGGCAATCAGTGCCCAAATTTATCTAGTTTGCACCAAATGGCATATCAATTCAGGTTACTTCAGGACCTCAGGTTACTTTACAACACTGAACACAGACAAATAATATTTGTAAGGTATGTAAAATAAAAGTATACTCAATACACAATTTAAGAAATGGAATATGGCCAATGTCTTTCAATGCCCTTCATACTTCTTGGTGTCAATTTTGCAAATAATTCATCTAATTTAATCATGAGAATGAAATTGCCCAAAATTAAATAGTATGCGGTAAGAAGTACTGAAATTGTTCTATGGTTCTGGTATGTGATTACTAAAAACAAAAATTTCAAGTCAAACTTATCTTGGTAGTCCTTTGCATAGTTAAAATTAAGAAAAATAATCAATCACTGCCCATGTTTGGAACAGGTCTAGAAAGTTTTCTCATATATGCAACCACTAACTCTATTCAGAGATTCAGTATCATTTTACTGAAAAAGGAAAAAAAACCTTAAGTCAATTCTTTTAATGTCCTCTATAAAACCAAAATGACCAACTTGCTTTATCTCCAAAGTATATGACTGCCATAAAGTTTCATTTTCAATCATAACAGAATAACAAAAGCTAGACTTT